TCTCTCTTCTCGACCAAACTGTGAAATTTGGCATCAGCGTGCTCTTGGTAGATGCTAAATGCTCACCTTTTTAATGACACTTCATTAGTTGTCAGATGTTTCTGTTGATCTTGATAAATTTGTCATTTCCAAGAGGAGTTTGGCAGGTGTGATGAATCCTGTGTAGTGATGTATGGTGTATTTCTTTATTTACTTTTTTAATGGAAGAAATCTTGTAATATCTGTCTGTAAACATATAAACAATATATGTAGTTATCACACTTTCTTAGTTTGTTATTTCAGTTATTTTTTAAATATTTCTATCCTGGTCAGTTATGCAATAGTTCCAGCAGATTAAAAGAATACTATGGAAACTAAACAACAGCTCCTTGCCAGTGCTGAGATTATACATTGCAAAGGGTCATAACATGTAAAAATGTAAAACTTTTCCATATAGTCATATCTTAATACATTCACATGATACAGAGGGCTTCATAGGTGTAATGAGAAGATAACAGCTTCTGGGAATAAATTTCATTATTTTCTGTTCATTGATTTTGCTAGAACTATGCCGTTGTGTAGTGTCATTTCCTTGTTGGATGTAGGTTATATGTACAAGTGGTTGAGAGCATTAACTATATCTTTACTACTTATCAAAGCGTTTGTGAATAAGCTTCCACTTTCCAGTTTAAAAGACTTTCAGGAGCTCTAATCACTAGATGAGCCAGAATACATTTATGATTTCACAGTTGCTTTTTAGTTTCCTAATTACTTGGCAAAGTCATAATTATACAAGGGAGTCACAATTTCATAATTACCTCAATATCAGATTTACATTGTATTGTCATAATTACTTCATAATTACCTTAGAATGGAATGGAATTTCCTCGCAGTATTATAATTTTCTTTTGGTGTTGTATGTGATTATTTACATTTTGTATGTTGCTTCCACAGAATGCAGCATCGAATGCCAGTGCTGGAGCCAAGAACTCGACAACAAAGTCCTCGGCCTTATTTTGCTTGTTAGCGGATCTGGATGGTGGACAGACAGGCAATTCATCTGTCAATGCCAATGATCCTTTTGCCTCGCCTACGAGTGCGCAGGCACCAGCGTCCATATCGCAGCCTTCTTTTGCCAATTTTGAGAATGCGAATATCTTCACAAACACTGCCGGTATGTTGAATATTACTTTTTAAAATTCTGTTAAGCAGTCTCAGCAGTATATTGATTTTGCAAGTGAAAGTAAAAAAAAGAGAAAAAGAAAAAAGAAAAAAAAAAAGATTATATAGGAATAATTTTCAGTTATTTCATTAGCACACATCCAGTGGAATTCAATTTTTAACTCTCTGGTGCTGGGGCATGTCTGTGGATGTGTGATCACCAGACATTGAGCTTTGCTTTTGCTTCCCCTGTCCACAAACCTGTTTTCCTTCCACCGCAGTTCAATCTGCAGCATCTTTATGTTGCCAGCATACACTGCCACCCTTAGTTTGGCACAATTCATGTGTAACTATACCCATAGGCTACCAAATATCCACAGCCATGCACTGGCCATAGGGAGTAGGTAAATTGTACATAGCCAAGTGTTTAGGGGATAAAACCAACATAAAAAAGAAAGATGTAGTAGAATAAGAATGGAGAGTAGCAAAAAGTATCTAATATCTTACATTATGCTTTGATTTTTAATTTATCTATCTGTTTGTGTAAGAGTCAGTTTTCTTTTTTTGAGTCTTGCCATCCCAGAAAAAAAGGAAGAAAAAAATTAGGAAGATGAGAACTATTGTGCTGTGTATGCTTAGAAAGTACTTTTATAAATATCATTCAAGGTTTTGACTCATTGGTGGTGATAGTGTCTGGTAATTGCTATGTTTTATTTTCTCTGGTTCTTTCTATGAGAAACAGGAATTAATTTTATCTTTTTTGTGTCCCTCCTCTCATTTTTTCCTCCTGATATGTGAAATTTTTTCATGATTTTGGGATATCTCTCTTTTCTTTGTGAGGCCTTTCTAAATTTGTGTGAGCCAGGTTCTAGTGCTAAGTGTGAGAAAGCATTACTAAAAGTTAATTTTGACTGTTGTGACTTGTTCCATGATGCTGCTGGGGGTATTGGCTATGATCAGCAATGGCACTGATGCTGTCTGACACACAATGCGGTTCTTTAGTGACCACAGTAATTTTCTTCCTTCTCACTGTATCTCCCTTTTACTCATTTGGTTCTGATCCATGTGTGAGGCAGGGGAAACACTAGGTTTATGTTGCCATACAAGAAAGCTGCGGGTATATGTTGTTGGGTCATGAGACTCTTGGATGATTAAAATAGGTTTTGTAGTATCTATTCACAGATGCTTTGGATGGTGATTTGTAGCATTTGTTTAAAAGTTTTATAGGTGATATTAAGAAGTGATAGCATGGGAGCTCTTTAGGAGTCAAATATTATAGGAATTCCTGAACAATATACAGTATATATTGGTGTAAGATACCAAGATATTCCACCCATTGTATAGGATTTACCTTCGAGGAACATGTAATTTTTATACTTTAATTTACTTATGCCAGTGTTTTGAATATATTTTTGTCTCTGCTGATTCCTAGATATGGCTTGTTTCTACTTTGTCATTGGTGTATTTAGAGTAATTGATGTCTTATATACATGTATTATATATTTACTATCAAGTTGGCCTCACACTCTGAAAATATTGAAGATGTATCTTTCCTTGAATGGAAATATTCATAGCTCATATTATGTTATTGCTAGAAGTTTACAATTGTAGGACTGAGAAGTTATTCCTTTTTATGCCATCTGTGAGTAATCTTTGAGACAGTGACAGGTTAAGGCATTTGAATGGGATGTGTAACTGATATGGTTGGTTATTTTAAGCATTTTCTTTAAGATCATTTTGCTGGATATAGAAAATGAGGCTTGAGAGAAGCCATGTGTTTCAGTAGATATAATATAATGGTTTGCAGACTGTGCCTTTAACTCTAGAAATATTGGTATTGTGCAAGTGATGGATATAAAGAGATTTTGAGCTGTGGTGTGAGCATGGATTGAATGATAGCGAGCTGCTCATGTTATCCCAGTTAAGTGTTATACTTCCATTATTTATTTATTTTTTTTTTCAAGATTTTAGTAAAATATCTCCCTATCTTGGGAGACAGTGATCAAAAAAAAAGAAGAAAAAAAAAAAGAAATTTGGTAGGAAAAGGCCAAGAGACACCACTAAGGGGCAGCAGCTTATTAAGGGCACGAGTTGCTTGTGTGCATCTGCTTGTGATGTGTCCCTCTTTGATATTGGCTTTCTTTATGCTCGGCTTCTAACATTCAACTGACTCTGTCCAGCACACAGTGGTCAAGGTTGAGGTTGATGGCATTCCGTCTTTCCCCGTGGCTGTCACCTCTGTGCTGCAGAAACGGGGAAGCCTGCCGGTTAATGTATACTAGGAAATGTGAGGAAGAAGTCTGTTTCCCATTGCTGTGATCTCTTCCTGCCCAGTTCCAATTTTTTCCTTTTCCTTCTTTTTCTATTTTTTGTTGGTTTGGGTACTTGTGAATGGCTGTTTTGAGGTCAGTGTGGCACAGTGTCCATGCAACAGTGCCTTTGTTCCAGACCATAGACTCGAAGGGGGGCATGGCACTGTCTTTGTTACAGGCTGAAGCTTTGTTATAGAACAGATCTGCAGCATGAGACTAATTCCTATTCAGAATTGGGTTTTTGAAGTGTATTTGAGCAGATATACAATTGATATTCATATACATTTATATTTGTGTGTGCGTGCGTGTGCGTGTGCGTGTGCGTGTGCGTGTGCGTGTGCGTGTGCGTGTGCGTGTGTGGGGTATGTCTATGTATGTGCATATGTATATATGTATATGTATATGTATATATTGTATGTATATGTATATGTATATATTGTATGTATATGTATATGTATATATTGTATGTATATGTATATGTATATATTGTATGTATATGTATATGTATATATTGTATGTATATGTATATGTATATATTGTATGTATATGTATATATATATATTGTATGAATATGTATATGTATATATATGTATTTATGTATATGTATTTATGTATATGTATTTATGTATATGTATTTATATATATGTATTATATATATTTATTTATATATATATGTATATGTATATGTATATGTATATGTATATGTGTATATATATATATATATATATATATATATATATATATATATATATATATATATATATATATATATATATATATATATATACATGCTCATAAACATGGATAAGCACAATTATATGCCCCACATGTACTTACGTATCCACATAGATCTGGGGTCTTTTAGTGGTCAGAATAGAGTACGTCTTGTGGCCAGCAAGCTTCTGGTCTTGAATCTGCTTGTGGTGTGTTGCTGACTTTATGCCTCAGGTCTTTCCCCTTCAGGTCCTCAGTGGTGGTTATTCTTTTTGTGCCCAAGACTGTTGAAATGATCCCTGGCCATGGTGCTGTCAGAAAACATTTATTTGTAGTTCTTGAGGTGAAACTAACTACTGAGTCTGCATGATTTTATTTTTTTTTTGGCTACTGGTGACCTTTAATATTTTTAGGCCCTTTGCAGATGTGACTCATTTATTTTTCAATTTTTATGTTTTTTTTTTCTGGGTAGTTTTCATGAAGCAGTCAAGATGATCCTTCTCAAAAAGTATCCTCCATTGTCAGGCAAACTGGTGCATATATATCTGTACAGTGCAGCTAAAATATAACTAAATGTGTCTCTGTTTAGTGCAACAAGTGTTAATTATTTCTTTGTCATTTTTATGTCACCTGGATATACTGCATTAACATTGTAGTATATTTTAGTAAAGAATATTTCTTGCATATGTTATTCATAGTATTAAGATCAAGATGTCCAGGATTCATTTAATTGCATTTATAACATTAAAACAATGTCTCATACAATATTTGAATAATTCCACATCTAGTGCAGATCTGCCATTGCCCAGGCCAGTCTTTTGGCCTTGTCACTCAGTGCTTAAAATCCTGGACATTGAATACTAGGGTTTCTGAGTTCCATTAAAAGATGTACCAGAAGTCTTTTTCTCAGGCACTTTTCTTGGGCATTCTAGTGGTTGCATGATGTTCTGTCACATATTGGAAACATTTTTATTTGTACAGTTTTATTCTGGTATTAAAAGTTTGTA